AAAAATCTACTTTTTCAAGGAACTATCAATTTTCCGTCATACAGTAGAACCCCTCATAACCGGCCACCACGGGACCAAGCCCCTGACCGGATAACGATTTGGCCGGATAAACCAACCTACTATGAAAATGATAATTCATACCTAATAATAATAGGTAATCAATATATGCAATCAAAAGTATAATTTAATTCTGTTCTGGGATCATTTTTAGAAAAATTAACATGTTTGTAAAAAGAAAAAAATATTTGTAGGTTAAAGTCATTAAGTAACGAATGTACAAATATTATGATACAAACAAAACCTAAATGGAGGTAAAAATGACAATAAATTGTACTTAAAGATCATTAGGACTTAAATGGTACATGCATTTCTACTCAACATTCTTAACCATTTTGTGAAATACATTATTAATGTACTCTTACTGTACTGTACTAACCCCACTTTGGAAATAATCAACCAACTGATCAGAAGTTAGGCCTACTAGCTCAACTGAGTATAGTAACTCAGCAAATATATGTATAAACAAACAGATAAATAATGAGAACAATTTATTTTATGACTTGAGCAGTCAAAAAGACTAGTGGCTGCATCTCAACGTCTGTAAGCTGTGAGAAAAAAATTTGATATTGGCTTCCTGGAAGGGGCCGGATAAACAGAGGACCGGTAAAACCAAGGCCGGATATGAGGGGTTCTACTGTATCATGGGGACGTCCCGCAAGGAGTCCTAAGGAAATCTTAAATAGAAGCATAGGTTGATATGTACATCAAATTAAAGGTCTTTACTAGCAGAATATACTTAATGCCGCAAATTTTAACTCAAACGGACAACCGAGCCAAGAATGACAGTTGTTTAAAGACTCATTTAATTTGCATTGCTATTACCCTATACGCTTACTCCTCAACAGCCCTAGGAATCGGAAGAAAATGCATAGGTCGATATGCACATCAAATTAAAGGTCTTCACCATTAGTAGATTACAATGCCGTAAATTCAAGCTCAAAAGAACGCCTGAGTAAAAAATGGCAGTCGTTCAAAGATTCAAAATGGCAGATTCAAGAAATCTTTGAACGGCTGCCATTTTACGCAGGATCAACCTTTTGAAGTGTGGTTTGCAGCATTGTAATTCTACTAAAAAAGATCTTTCATTTGATGTCCATATTGACCTATGCTTCCATTTAAGATTTTCTTCCGACTCCTTGTGGGACGTCCCCATGATATGACAGAAAATTCATAGTTCATTGAAAAAGTAGATTTTTAGGTGTGGTGTTGATGTACCAAATCTTATTGATTTATCTGTTGTCGTTTAGAAAATATTAAGCCCGTGCGGGACTTTATATACACCCTGTATAACTTATCAAGTTTGGTTAGTTAGGTTAACCTAACCTAACTAGCCGAATGAAATAATCGATATATCGAATAATCTATATATTGATATTTTTCATTCGAATTAGTGTAGGACAGATACTAAAGTGCAGCCCATGTAGGTAACACTGATTGCTAGTGTCGACAAAATTTTGTTTAGGCCTACCTATTTTATTTTAGGGTTAGTTTCATTTGTGCTGACATAGGAATATCCTATCAGTTCACCCTCAAACAGGGTATTGAAGACGAGGCAGTCAAGCGGTTAAGCCTGGTTTACACGGGTCGAGTATGGCAGACGAGTTATTCGGCCCAGTTGTTGATTAGTTCAACTCGCCCAGTACTTAACTGGACTGTCTACACACATTCCTATTTCAAACACCTGGACAGTGTAGGCACAGAGAAGTAATTTTTTTAATTTCTCTATGGTGTTGGGTATTTTGTATACCGTAGCTTTTTTGTGTTAATTGTTGTTTGAGTTTAAAATGGCCCTTCAAGAGTTTAATACTGAATCTATACAGTTTAAATTAGATTTGTTACAAATTACCTACTATACTGCATTTCTTTAAAATAATATAAAAAAGGCAGCCAAAAGTTGCCTCCAAATAAAAAATTTGAAAACACCGTTTTCAATGTATTTCTGATGGAACACATTTTTAGGGAGTGAGCTTTCTAACGACCCATCTATATAAATAAAATCGATCCAGTAGAACTGTAGATCTTAAGTTGTACAACAACAATCTTGAAAACTGAATTCTATAAGAGTAGGGATTTACAGTTAAATGCAACACAATACTGTTCAACTTGTACTTTTACAAAATCACTTGTACTGTTCAAATAAACCATTGAGCATTGAGGGAGAGTAGGCCTACACTACTCACTGAACTAACCTCAATACTGATCGTTGTGTGTGAACTGTGAATGTGTGATCGACTCACTCAGCGACCACAAAAAATACAAACAAATTAATTCTGTGGTAACTGGACTCACTTTATATCAGTAAACAGATGTTTTTTCGGGCAAATCGTGGTGGTGGGGTTAGCTACTGGGGCCGAGCAACTCGGTTTTCAACTAAATCACTCGACTCGCTCTCAACTGACCTCTTTTTATCAACTCGCCCGTTGCTCGACTCTCCTGCATGTCTACACCATGCGAGTTAAAGAGAAAGTGGCAACTCGCACACTGACTCACCCGCCTTACTCGACCCGTGCAAACCATGCTTTAGGGTCCTGGGTCGACTCACAACTAAACCGGAATCATGATGTTGGGAAGGTATGTGTTAGGCTTAGTAGAATACTTTATCTGATCAGAAGGCTAAAGAACGAGATCACACGCCCCTACCTGCTCATCACGTAGGCTTACTAACTTACGCATTATTCCACTGCCACATCCAACTATGACTTGGTGGTATGGTGACATAGCCACGCAACTCAAAGTGTGCTCCTGCTGAAGATGAGGGCTCTAGGACTGATAACATCTTCCAGCCAAACCGACCATCGTAGGCAGATTTTTCAAGAACTTGGCATCTTATCAGTCTAAAGCCAGAAGGCCTATAGGCTACAACACATTAGTCCTTCTGAGAAACTAATTTCTCAACCAGAAGCATACAGTACAATTATGGGACCCGCGGGGCTGGTGACCTTGACCTACCTCGTTATCGGCTTCGCCACACACTTCAGTCGTACCCCTCAATATCGATAAAACTATTCAACAAACTGCCGACTAATTTAAGTATAATATCCGAGCTCTAGGCCTAGACCAAATGCGATTCAAATCCGCACTTCGCCAGAGCCTACTCAGCAGGCCCTTGTAGCCTACTCTATAAAAAACTGTTTGACGAGTCACTCGCCTTCCCCAAAAAAGTCACATCTGTCAGTGCAGTTTAATGTAGGTATAAGTTATAAGTATGTAAATAGTGTTTTTGTGTAGTACCGGAAATCTATAATGACGCAATCTATTTAACATTTGTTGGTCGACCATGAAGAGATCAAGTATTCAAGTATGCTTTACTGTTTGGTTAAAAAATATAACTAGCCTTAGTTAGGCTAGGCGACCTCCATTTTTTATGATAAAGTTATATCGTTTCAATTAGGTAGTAGGCCTAAACCAAGGTTTTAATGACTGAAATCACGAGAATTAAACAAGGGTGGGCTGCACTTTACTTTAGGTCCTATACTCATTCGAATGAAAATATCAATTAGGCCTATTCGATTGTTTTATTCGATATATCGTTTGGTTGGTTAGGTTAGGTTAACCTTACCTAACTAACCAAACGATATATCGAATGAAACAATCGATTAATCGATATATCGATCGATATTTTCATTCGAATGAGTGTAGGACCTAAAGTAAAGTGCAGCCCAAGGGCGGAACTAATAATAAAATTGTCTATAGTAACTTAGATCCATTTAATGATGAGATAGGCCTATCTATTAAACTTTAAGGGAGTAGGCCTATGTTTATGTTTGATTTGATTCCATCCCTATTTTTAACAGGATTCAGTTAGGTTAACTTAGTAGGCTAGTTTAGCCTATACCTTTATACCATGTATCCATCGATGACCAGTAGTGACTGGATAGATTTCGTCAAAGAAAAAACATTTTAAACATTTTAGTTTTAGTACTTTTTAATTTATGTGGTTAACATGGCTGTAGATTACGAGGCCCATTCACCATTTTCCTCTGTGAAATATTCCTTCATGGAGTACAGGGGCCGCGCCTTGAGTAGTTCCTCCACTCTCTTTTTAAAACTCTTAAGAGGGAGTGACTTTATGTCTTGGTGCAGGTGGTTATAGAGTCTGATGCCAAGGACCGGATAACAGTCTTTTGTTTACTGAGGAATATATTTGTTTTTGTAGACAATTTTTATTCAATTGAACTTACCACTAAAATGATCCTAATATAATTATGAATCTGCCACTTACTGTCTCTACGGTACTTATTTAGGATCCAGACCCCAGCTTAAACCTAATTTGCCTCATGTTAGGTTAGGTTCACATTTGTGATGGCAGTTCAAATTATCTCTTTATTCTTAAGTTCGGGTACAGTTTCTTAACTGGGCTATGCTAATATCCATTGAAACTATCGATTCGATTAGTAAACCTGCATGCGATTTTTTTACTTGTTTGGTTTTATTTTTAATTTGTTTGGTTGGTTAGGTTAGGTTATGTTAGTTTTATTTTATAATAGATATATTTAAAAACATCGATTATCAATCAATATTTTCAATTCGATAATTTCAATCAATATTAGCATAGCCCAGTTCAGAAACTGTACCCCTAAGTTCATTTATTATAGCCTAGGCCTTATAATTAATAGGGTAGGCTACATAAGTTAGGCCTAGTGAACATAATAGCCAACTAACTAATATAACTTCTATCAAAACCTTTTATCTATGATAGAACATACTCCTTTGTGTTGGTTAGTCTATGATTCTATCAAAACAAAACACTTTCACAATTACAAAATTATAACACTCAGGACTCAGATTAGGTTAGCTAGCTTTGCATCAACATCAACTTCAAATTCCCAAATCCCAATCCCATCCCATCCCACTATCCACTTCCACTATCGCTTTGTTTTGTTTTGCTTAAACTTCAAAGCATTATGGGTATGGTACAGTATCGGTGACGTCACATAATTAGAGTAAAATACAAAGTGATGTGCTTGTGGCGTGTTATTTGTGAGCTCTAATATTTCTTTTAAATTTATTTAATTAAACACGATAAAATATTATATTTTTTACGACCTGCCTTATTAGTGCACGTGAAATGTGGAGGAAACCTGATTCGCTTTAAATAGGTTCAAATTAAGTTTTATTTCCATTATAATATTGACACTTGCTATCCTTTTCATTCCTATAAGACCGCCTATTGTGCGTAGCCTACAGCGCAGCCTGTAACAGTGCGTCATTACAATGCCATTCCAAAAACATTTTGTCTCTGTGAAACCAATTACAGTTTATCTTTAGAGCTATTATTTTTAAATTGTGTTGTTATTGTGATAATGGATTTTAAATTAATTGGTGCACCTTGTGGGCAACATGGTCCATATACATTTTATAAGGCTTTCAAGTATTCTAAACATGGAAAAACAAACATATTGGCTCTGAGTGAATTTTTTTTCGTTAAATTATGGAATGATTCTGACTTAGTGAGCATTGGTGAACTTCAGTTATTATGGGAAGACAAAAACAATGAACAGACATTAGCTAGTTTACGATTATATATTTTGCCTGAAAATACACCTGAAGGGAGAAGTGATTGTCATGGAGAGGTAAGTTTCAGTTTAACTTCGTTGGTTTTTTAATTAAGAAATTAAAAAAAAATTAGGGTTTATTTACAGTAGGCTACCTCCTCCTCTAACCTTGGTATAGGTAGGCCTAGACGCTAGTAACCTCTCTGTAAACAAAGACTGCATTTTGGGTTACTTTTAACAATTCGCTTCAAATCAATTTTATCCTAAAGGTCTGGTTATTTTACTAAATAAACGCCTCGTTTGGATATTGATGTTGAACTAGGCCTACGTTTATATCTATATATATATCTATCTATATATATAATACGTGAAGCCGTATTTTGTTAACGCAACTCCTCCCTTATTTGTGGACCAATTTCAACGTTTAAGGTGTCAAAAGATTCGTCTCAATACGTAGTTTTGCAATAAGGTTTTAGAACTTTAAAATGTTTACTCTTAAGGGCGTGAGACCCTCTCAAAGGTTGGGTTTTTCCCATAAGAAATACATAGAACAAATTTAAAAACAAGAACAGCTGTTTATAAAAAGAAACCCATTAGCTTTTTGGGAGTAAATATTGATGTTTTAATATTCAGTAGGTTAAGACCAAGTTAAACACTTAATCAGTTTTATTGAAAACGGGAGGAGGAGACAATTAATAATAAGGTATCTTATGCGTATAAGGAGAGAAGAGAAAGAGAGGCCTGGTTTAACAGATATACACATCCATAAAATACACATTCACTTGGTGAGATGAATAATATTTGTTCTGCTATGCAACTTACTTTGGAAGTGAAAAAATATACGAAGCACATAGTGTTGTCACGATGGTAAAATAAAGTTGCCTAATGTCAGATCAAATTAATGCATGCGAGAAATGTTTACTTCTGACACTGACAGATCTCAAAAAATTTAGTACAAACAATAATAATGCCTTGACTATGATAAGTTCAAGTAGTAAGATTATACCAAATCTTGGTGGACCTTATGTTTTTATTGTAAACTTTTGTATTAGGTACGTGCTCTACTTTAATTGAGGAAAAAACACAAATGGATGGATTGTTTATTTCTAGGTTATGTTGCCAGTTCCTTGGACAAACTTATACAAAGTTTTTTTACTGAATTTTAGTAGTAATATTAGACATAAGTGAAGGAATTAGTGTTTATGTATTCAACGATCGAGTAGTTACAGTCAAGTTTAATTTTATGATTCAGGAGAGGCAAATAATATACGCTGTTCAAAAAGAGAAAATGAAAATTGCTATCCAAATCTTATAGCTACAAGAGTTATCCAACCTATTTCGACAAATGAATCCATACTTTCAAAACTTTGGGACAGGTATTAAGAGAAACCCCAAAGAACAATGTGAGAACGTTCTGATGCAGGTCATATACTGTGACTAACACACAACACGTTAAAATACGTTAACAAACTATCATAGGTGTAACGCCATTGATAAGTTGCTGCTTTAGCCTATTCAAAGCAGATTATGGCTTTCCAGTTGATAACCCAGAGTTTGTGGGTAAAAAATGGAGCACATTAAATGGTTTATATCACTCCATTTTTCAGGATTCTCTACGGAGAAAATTCGTTTGATTAGGGGGATGTCTAGGCAACAGTTTTCTTAAATTCTCAATGATGGAAAAACTTTGTTGCAACATGTTAGCTCGAATTGAAGCTGATCGCTTACCATTCATTAGAAGTTATCAGTTAAAACTGAGAGAAGAAATAATGTAGGTGAACCTTGACGACACAAATAGGGATATTTAAAATAGTTTCTAACAAGTGTTTAAACAACTCTAAGATGTAACTAGAATTTACTCGAATTTAAGCATAACGTTTTCCTCGGCGTTGTTTTATACTATGCGGCTCATTGAGCCGCACGGGTTCTCTAGTGAATTTATAATCCTGAACTTAACGCTATCATCATACAAATTACACCAATTATTAATTTGAATAATAATGCTAGGCCTAACTTAAATTACATTTCCATTTGAAAAAGGTAGTTTGGACATATTTTGCGAGACATAAGTTATTGTAGGCATTTGACGAATAATCCCATAACTATTAAGTTAAGTATGTTTTTAAGGTCAATAATAATTAAGTATATTTAAGTTAGGCCTTTAACTTAGGGGGGAGGGATGGGACACTTTTTGATTATTTATTTTTTTCATTTAGCCTATTTTAGCCTTGTTAAAGTTAGTGGCCATTCCATGTCAAGTCATCCAGGGGTTGTCACCCACTAGTCACAGATTTTCATGAAAATTTGTACACATAATTTAGACATTTAAGTAAGGATAAAATCCAAAATTTCAGTTCATTATGTCAAACGGTTTCAGAGATATGGCTATTTGAAGTTTTGAGCGAATTTAGTTTCCGAGGTCCAATTTGACGCTAAGGGAGCGTGCATGTATTCTCGTCTTTCTATGTAGAATGGACAATTATTAAGCTAGAGGCCTCAAATTGGACTCATATATATTCAAAATTTAATGCAGAATCATATAATACAATTAAAATGATAACTATTAGGGCCTACCTATTATCACCCAAGAAAATTCCCAAATACAAATAAGTTAATTCGATTTTTCCGAAATCGGAACATTCAGTTAGGCCTACCGGTACAAAAGGTTTGATAGGCTAACAAAAATCTCTCTCCAGATAAACCTTATCACTGGAAAGAGGATAAAATTTTCTTTCAAATGAGTGGGGTTTTGAGTATTAACATTGTTATCACACTTGAAAGTTAAAAATTAAATTTGATTAAGCTAAAAATTTCATTTGATGCCGAATATGTATGATGAACTTAAACAAAAGGTTCATCAATTTAATATATGTTTGTACAAATGACTAGAAATCTAATGAAACAAAATATTTAAAAACATCGATTATCAATCAATATTTTCAATTCGATAATTTCAATCAATATTAGCATAGCCCAGTTAAGAAACTGTACCCCTAAGTTCATTTATTATAGCCTAGGCCTTATAATTAATAGGGTAGGCTACAGGCTTTTTATTAGTAAAAAGATCTTTTTGTGTTTATCTAATACCCTTTTCTAGATAATCCATTTTACGCTGAACTATGTCTTCGCGTTTTAAAAATTCATAGGTAGGTACAAAAAAGAAATTTTTTTCAGCCTTATTAAACTAAGAGGTATTAGTATTTTTTTATGGAATCCTCATGTCTTAAAGAATAAGTACATGCATTTTTATGAAGATTCTTCAGTAAACAGAAAAGTTACAAATTATTTTCTAAAAGTAAGCGAGTTTTATTCCGCGACATCTGATGGTTAGCACTAGCGGAAAGAAAAACTTTAAAAGGCTATTAAAAGGAAACTGTAATATATTGGAATCAGCTGATAATTTGGTTTTATGTTTATTATGAAAATGTAAACAAATAATGTTATGTTTTGTTCTGTGATTAAATGAGTTTAAGTTAGTTCTTGATTTTATTTCACTGGCGACGATGAGTAAAAAACGAACCCAAAGATGTGAAGATATTGGTTGGAACAATAAAGAAGAGGTGCGAAAGAGAATGGAAATGTTTTCAATAGAACCCTATGATGAAAAATAGAACTGGGAGGATTATGAAGCTCACTTCCAATTGATGTGCAAGGTAAAGGGATTGGGTGATGACAGTGATGAAACTGAGGAAGCCAGAAGGGATCTTCTAAATACCCCCGCCGCAGCAAACCTGCAGACTAAGCGAATTTCCATTTCCCTGAATGGATTTACACTAAAATGTCTCCTTAAAAATATCACATTTATTCCCTATTTAAAAAGAATCAGTTTAAAACATACTTAGGTTTGCTGCAACAGGGAGGGTAAAAGTGTTTTATGTAAAATGTTAATAGTTGGTAAGAAATAAAAACATTTTCCAAATTTGGGCAAAATATGTTAATAAACAAGCAAACTACAACAGTTTACTTATTCTCCATAAGAATAACATGGAAATTTTAAATTTACAATTTTTTGGAATTTTCTCCGTAACTATTAGGCGCATTATAACGCTTCAGTATACTAAATTATTTGTTTTTTTAAGCTCTACAAAATAGTTCAGAAAGAAATTGCAAAATTTTATGCTTTTTGGGTCAAAAATGGGAAAAACCCATTTTTACCCCATAAAAGCCCCCATAAACCCCCGTTCCCATGGTCCGATCATGCTGGTTCGCGAACTCGTTCGAATAAACGTAGGTTTACACGTTTGTACCAAATTTCATCAAAATCGGATCATTTTTGCTCGAGTTATCGCGCTAACGGACACATATATATATATATATATAAATATATATATAAATATATATATAAATATATATATAAATATATATATAAATATATATATAAATATATATATATATATATGAATTTGAACGGATGGTGTTTTTGGCCTCTAGGGACCTCAAAACGAAAAAAAAATCGGTCCCGGGTCCAGGTCTTACCATGAGTACTACGGTAATAGCTTATTCCCTATATGGGAAATTCGCTAAAAGGTATCTAACTTTGTTTTACCTAGGAAAATTAATGACATACCTATGACTGAACTGCTTGATACATTTCGGTGTGTTTATAAACCTAGTAAAACAATCTTTGCAGCGAGACTAGACTTTGAAAAATGTTTGAGAGGAAATGATGAGAGTTTTTCAAATTTCGTCTTACGTTTAAAAGAGTTAGCCTCCTACTGTAAATACGACAGGTATTTTGAGGAAAGAGTAAGGGATAGATTTGCTGGTGGCGTTAACTTTCCACAGTTTGAAGTTGAAATCAGGCAAAGGTGGCCAGAAGGCATAAATAAGGAGTTTTTTATAAATAAGGAAGGCAGTTTGGACAAGGAGATAAAATTAGTTCAAAGTTATGTGCTAAATGCATGGCCAGAGAACGTACCAGATAACATTAAAACATTTAAACAAAGGAAAGAAGAATTATCAGTTGAAGATGGTGTTTTGATGTGGTTTGGTAGAGTTGTTGTGCCAACAAATATGAGAATAAAAATCTAGAGAATTTTGCACTGTGGCCATCCTGGAATTTCAGCTATGAGATCAAT